TTGGTCTTTTGTGTTGCTCTTTTGTTATATAAAAAGCAAACAAAAAAGATGTAGTTGAGATATGAGCGCAATTCATACACAATTATACAAGTAGATACAGAATGCATTTATTTACACATGGTTAAAAAACTGGAATGAAAATATGGTTTTAGTTGGTATAATATAAATTGGCGGGAGATCTGTATTTGATGTATTTGGACACACATCTATGTATGCCACAGCTTTTATAACAATATTATTATATAGATATGTATGATTTTTGGAATAGCGCTTTACAAAATATGGTGTCGGCATAGGCCGTAGGGTTGCACTGACGCAAGCTATCTTGACTATCAGCACGCGTTAAAGTCCACAGTGTACTGTGTAGAGTTTATTATTCAGTATGACGACATTCTTGAGACTTCTGCCGGAGAATAGTTCTAAGATAGTACTGTGTTCAACACTTTCAATTCTTGTGACTCTAGTTTATATGATATCAGACATAGATACCACAGTGACACACATGAAGACTGCGATAGGATTCGCGACCTTGGTGACCAAACGTGCCAGTTACGAACGTTTCAGTCCCAACTGTTTAGATCTAGACCTGTCTCCTAATTTAGAATGCGGCTTCATGGTAGGTAATGAAAGTATGAAGTTCTGTACCGATCCACAGAAATGGCGAAAAAGTTTGCTTGTGAGCGAGTGCGACTGGCAAAAATACACACGCAGAGGTGCTATTGAGCTACTACAGGGCAAGCATATTGTGTTTGTGGGTGACTCGAGATTGCGGTATCAGTATGTATGTATGATATTTTGGCTCGAGAATGGGTATTGGCCTCCCGATGGCGAGAAAGATGGGTTTAAAAGTCCAGTTAAGGAGAGCTTGTGGGGGGGCAAGGGGGGATGGCGGGCCTTTTTCAAAGATACTGCCGGGTATATGAAGGGAAACGAGTACTGTGATTGCTATAGGAATGACCATGACATGTATGTGGAGCCTATATATGAGAATAGGTTCTATTATAACGAGAGATATAACCTGCGGCTGTCGTATTTTGTTCACTACAAGACAGACATGTGGGCTGGGCACAAGGACATTCACGGGCACTATGGATTCCCACCGTATCAGGCGGATGAGTACACCTCTAAGGGTGACACATGTCACAGCATTGGTGACTGTAAGGGGCAGAAAGATTGGGCTCTGACACTGACGGAAGCACTGAACTCAGACTTCTTCACCCGACTGGGTGCGACAGATTTGTTCATGTCATTCGGGTGGCTACCGAATAAGCAAATCAATATCACCATGACCGACGAATGGGCCAATGGAGTCAAGAAAATGCGAAACAATGGGATCAATGTGTACAAATTGGATGCGCATTCCGTCTCACATCCGCCCCATAAGGTGACTATTACTAAACAGGACTACGAGCGGGTGCGTAACCTACCACCTGTCCCTGGCCAAATTAACTTGGACCTGTTCAAATTTACCAAAACATTTGCAGACCACTGGGAAGATCCGGACAAACCATTTGTAGATGAGGTGCACTTCGAGGCGTGGGTGTATGAAGAGCTGTCTCAGTGGTTCTTAAGGGCTATTGACATGGCCGAGGAAGCACCTATGGTTCCTCTGTAGAAGTGTTTGGAAGTACAAATATATACTGTCAACGCTAGTGAGTACACAAACATGATGTTTGTAAATATAATATTAGTTACCTTACTTCACACACGTTGTTGGTATACGAGGCAGAATCCATTCTGTCTAGCGAAATATATGAGGTACTAAGGGTGCTTGCATTGGTGTGTCTCTACAAACATTTACATTGGTTCATGTATCGATACGCATAGCTACGTGTTCGCAGAAATAGTATCTTACAATGGGCTTTCGGTACGAATATGCCAACGTAAAATCAGGAATGAATATTATTTCGTACAAGTTTATTTGTATTTTGGGATGTCTTATGTAACATACAGTATGCTCATATGTGCAGGGTGGTTGTAGGCAACACAGATAATTTATTAAAGTAGTCTTGATTGTTTTATAGCTTGTTCGTGTAGGGGATTGGATTGAGGTATGCGCATGTTATCATAAAACACTTTTAATCGAGTACTATGATATTTGTGAGTACATTTCCCGTGCGGGGTTTGTATTGAGGAAAGGGCATGCTATCGTAACACTGTTTAATCGAGCACTAGGATATCTGTGAGTATCTTTCTTGATACAACTGCTTGTTTGTGTAGGGGTTTAATTTGAGGTACGGGCATGTTATCATAAACACTGTTAAATCGAGTACTAGGATATCTGTGATACATCTATTTCGTTGTTTTAAATAAACTTCAATTGGAACGCGTTTGCTTCTTGCTGTCGTTATTTTTTTGGGCTCTGGGGTTCACAAGTGTAGCACAAGAGAGAGTGTGTTGCATTTGTTACGAGTCCTCCGACGGTATTGTTCACATTGAACCTAATACCAATCCAGCCAAGCTTTAAGTCAACTAGATAGAAGCTTCATTGCAGATTCATCACTATCATCTACCAACTTCATAGAGTTAGACAATATACTACCTACCACCTGTTCAGACCCGCACGAAGAACTCATCCACTATGTATACGCCCTATAAAGGGATGCACTTAGCTGCGCTCATGGCCCGTGTACCATCTACTAACAATACAAACTTAGATCGATCGATATAGATCATTGTACATCTATATACATCGGCTATGACGTGACTCCTACGCCGGCTACAAACAGTCATGTGTGAACCGCGTGTACCGCTGATGGGCGTTCCCCTATGAATTCGTATGTCACTCCAATAAAGCATTGTATGTATTATATGCAATAGATTTCCCCGTGCTATTTAATGTGTGTATTGTTTTGATCCACTCGTATTAATTCCGCCGCTGCCTTGGTTTTGTGATCCCATTCGCAAGCAGCGAACCAATGTTGTCAAAAAAGTACTCCTCTCCTGCCTCGTAAACTGCTCCACCATGGTCATATACCTGACGAGCGCACGATAATCGAGGATACGAGTGCTGTGAGTATGTGCACAAGTGAATGCAGAGAAACATATTTGCCGCAACTTACGATATCTGTAGTGCGTAGAATAATAGTGTGATAAAAAGCCAATATATGTATATATATATACATACATACATATATATATATATATATATATATATATATTATATTATATACTATATATCCATATCCATATATATATATATATATATATATATATATATATATATTATATATATATATATATAATTTATTAATAAATAATATATATTTATTATATATATAACATAAAGCTATATATAATAAATACTAACAAATAATATATATATATATATATATATAATTATTAATAAATAATATATTATATATATATATATATTATATAAAGACTATATATAATATATACTAACAAATAACAAATATATATATATATATATATATACATATATATATATACATATATATAAATATATATATATAATAAAGTAATATATTAACATAATAATATGAAATACACCGATGAGATATTCTCTGTGCGCATTCATCACGAAATCAAAATAGTGATGAGAATATAATGGCAGAGGTCACAAGATGACATCACCGAAAACGTGTGATACTGGTACGGTACAACTAGGGTACACTTCATCCCGAGCGACACGCAACGCTACACAGTCTGGATATCCATCCATAGTAGATCAGGCATGTAACAGTGAGATGCACATATGCATACCTTCGCGGTTACGTTTTCGAATAGGCTCCGTACGGTGTCATAGTTGACGGTTGTGGCGAAAGTATTTGCCGCCGATTGCGCATCCTGGAAGTGGAAAAGATATAGCAATGCACTCGTCAATGGGGTCGTATGTTTGAACACTGTACATAGTCCTACTATACAACGTAAAAGTGCGCCCCACAAATGATACCTCAATATATGTAGTTGTAGCCATGTCAGTGAGTAGTGGATTGGGTTCTAGAAAAAAACCCTAAATACTTCAGCAACCCAAACCCCTAAACCCTAAACCAGCACACGCAGCCACACCTCAGTGGGAGTTTCAGGAGCGCCGTCGAACTTCCTCAGGCCATGAGCCAACGCCAACAGCTGCAAACACATGGTACTTGCACCGACTAGTTGGTCAGACACCTTACCCACCACAGGCAGTAGAGACACCAAACGGGACGATAGCCCTACCACTGGGTGTATTTCTGGGGGCAAGACTCGTATCTGGGTAGTTCATGGATTGCGCAGATGTGTGGTTGGTGTTAGTTGTAATGTGATGGGTGACGAATGCACTGAACAGTAGGTGATCCCGGGAGTAACCTCTGGAAGTCGCCCCTGTATCTAGTGAGGTCGTTTGCGTAGTAGAGACATACCCAGAACACTACCATAACATACATATATATTTAGAGTTCGATTCGCGGAGAAACGTGACCATAAACAAAGATCCAGACACCCTGAAAGGGTATATCAACATGTAGAATCCGCACTATCACTACACTGTACAGTACACTATACAGCACGCATAAGCCTTAGGTACAATATTGGAGCATTTCTCCTGAACAACTCCTTTAAGCAGGTTCCGTAGACGTGATATACATATGATCTTAGGAAGGTTATGGGATTCAATAGAGAGTTCGAGATGTGTATATACTCGTATGCACATACACTTCAACTACTATCGCACACCCACACCACAGCCACAGACCACATAATGCGCACTCGACGCAACCCCACACACATGTGCCTGACTTACATCCCAGCTCCCCGTGTATATGTAGTGCAGTCGCTCGGCTGCCTGTTGTTCTACTGTGTGCACGGCGTCACCCAGCATCACTTTACTTACAGCCTTCACTATGACATTGGTTGCGGCACGGCCCTTTTCCTTCTGATACCTTGCCAGCAGTATGTCCTTTCCATTGGATTCTAAATAAAGACCCATTGCTTGGAGTAATTCTTCCACTCCATCAACAAAGTGCACTTCCTGTTGCAGAACATTCGAAACATTGTAACACAGCCGATGTCAGAGCTGGGGTGAGTTCGTTCACTCACCCGAAGAGGTATGAAAACGAATCAGTGGTAAACGTACTAGGAAAATAATAGGCAAAACGGGCACATGAGCATATACAGTCACATGTAAGGCAAAATTCTGGTCGGAACTTTTGGCATTTATTATACCTGTACAGCAATCAAACTCACGACGGTATATCAAATTCACAGTACCAATGAATATAAAGGTACACGTACACACTAGACATATACATAGACAAAGACACAGACATAGATATAGAGATAAGGATAGAGATAGAGATGGAGAAAGAGATGGGCATAGACACACCCGCGTACATAGGGATACACAGATTAAGTCCGATTCAACTACATACAACCCTCGATTCAACCATACACCACCCGCACATAAACGCCCACCTCTTTCATTTCATCGTATCCCCTGATACTAGTGGTATATATATGGTCCACCCCAAGCTGCTCCTTCCACTGGCCGATGAGCCTGTCCCTGGCTTCTGGTCGCAGCTTGTCCACGATCAACGTACTGCCTTCGTCTACGTATCACGTACACCTGTGCGCGGGTCGAGGGGTCGGTGTCAGTTGGGTTATTCACATGATATAACAACTCTCTATCCT